TTCATTATTAAATTCTGATTATCTTTTGTTTATAGCAGCATTTGGAAATTTGCTACGACCGCTCATGACACAAGTTTCTGAGTAAGGATATAAGTAGTATGTCCGACAAAATGGGCAAATTCTCCAGTTGTCTGCTTGAACAACAAATTGCTTGAGTTTCGTTTGAACTAGACTAGCATAAATGACCGTGTTCACTAGACAGATTTCGCCCACCACAACACTTCCTCCTGTCTTCTCCCATCTAGGAATTTTTGCGACTGATTCCCGTATACCTACAATGGTCATAATGAATAGTACTTAGTAACTGGTTATAGAATCCTAACATAATGTAAAGATGAGCTAGTCGCTGAAGCCAATGTTCGACCGAAGTTGCTCAAAAAGATTTACTTGATTATCAGCAACAAATACGGATTACTGAATAATTTATTACTTTGAGCTGGTAACAAATTACTTTTTTAAGACTGAATTTCACGCCCTACCCCATCTAATTGCCATTGGGGGAGGGCATTTAAGCATGTTACGGCTCAGTGGTATTTCAACACCTGGAGTGCCAGACGCTGGTACTCCTATAATTCGCCAGTCGTTATTTGACATACTCAGGCGTACGAACAGCATATCATGTATTTGCGGTAGCATACAGAAAGCATCAAGTTCTTAAATATAGCGAATGATGAGTGTGAGGTGACTCTAGCGCACAAAATGGCATCTGGCAACGCAAGCGCTCAAATACCATTGAGTCCTGACAGCAGTAGGCAACCATGAGCAAGAAGGCGGGGCAGTAGCGCCGTAAAATATGGTCTTAAAGGAGTCATTCGTTAGTTCACATTCTCGGGCGCACGAATAGTCTACAACAAAAGCTTAATATCTTTAATGATGGCAAAACACATAAATGCGTTGAGAAACATTGACACCATCAGATGTAATAACAAGACAACATTCGCTACAACGGTTCGTCGAATCAACAACGCTGGTTTTACCCGCACGCTGAAATGCCATTAACACTATAGTTACCATCCCGCATTTAAAACTGTGCTTCAGCGGTACATCCAAATTTTGATGGCACAAACGTGCTGCTCAGGACGAATTCGACTTCTGCGAAGTCAACATCGACAGGAACGTGCGAATGAACGGGTCATAGTCGTGTACTCGGCGCTGATCATCGATTTCGTACCGTTTTGCACGGTACTCCAACTCTTTTATGATGAACCTTACGTTGCGAATCTCTTCTTCGACGTCCTTGATAAGCGGTGCCAGGTCCTTAAATTAAAAATTTCAGAAATAATAACAACTCATGCGATAATATGAGTCGACAGCATGATAATGAAGCATAACAATATGGAGGGTGAATAGCGTCTGTCCCAAGAAAATAATAATTTGAAGCTGTACTTTGAACGTTAAAGTTAAGGTAACGCGATGCCAGACTTGGCTTCGCATTTTTTATCTTTATCCAAAAAACTGAATACCACTACGTTAAACGACGTAGCAAACTTATCAGTAGAGCAGAAAAATGTTTGTATACCCGCTCAAACGGAGTTTAAGCCGCAGGCATCGAAAGGGAGATCTCCATTTCTGATAGTCTCTGCTGAGGCATGGTTTCAGCGCGACAGTTGGTAGCTGTAC